AATAAATTCCAACCCCATGATAAGAAAGTAGTAAACCCAGTGGCATTTACTGCAGGAATGTAAGGTTGGCTCTGGCTGATTTGTATCTTTGTATTAGTGCATTCACCATTACGGATGATGTCTGGAGTTTGCCCACAACGATGCTCAAGACCCTTTCAGACACATCCTCCCCCAAAGGGGAACATTCTCCTGTTCTCAAGGGTAAAACTGCAGCCTGAGTGGAGGACAGATGCAACCCTCTGCTCTGATGGACTAGAGAATGCAGTGGGGGATCGATGGCAGCCTCGCCAGACACCAGTCAATTCCCTGGCCCTCTGCAACTCTGGATAGCGCTGAGTCCCTACTTTCAGGTGGGGAGAGTCATTCTGGGGGCTTCAAGAACACCCTTCTGTCAGTCCATCCAACCAGGTCCAGGAGCCAGTGGAAGAAATCTGAGACAAGTGGGGGTTCTGTTGAAGGGCGCTTTTAAGAATCACTGAAATAAATGCCTGGTAGGTCTCGAAACTCTAACCTCTGACTTATTTAGTCCATTTTCATGTTACTATGAAGAAATATCAGAGACTGGGTAATTTGGTGATTTTTTTTTTTTTTTTTTTTTTGAGACAGAGTCTTGATCTGTTGCCCAGGCTGGAGTGCAGTGGCACAATATTGGCTCACCGCAACCTCTGCCTTCCATGTTCAAGTGATTCAGCCTTGTTCAGCCTCCTGAGTAGCTGGGATTACAGGTGTGCGCCACCAGGCCTAGCTGATTTTTGTATTTTTTAGTAGAGACGGAGTTTCACCATGTTGGCCAGGATGGTCTCAACTTGACCTCGTGATCTGCCCGCCTCCGCCTCCCAAAGTGGGATTACAGGCATGAGCCACTGCACCAGGCCTTTTTGTTTGTTTTTTGAGATGCAGTATTGCTCTGTTGCCCAGGCTGGAGCGCAGTGGCACGACCTCGGCTCACTGCAACCTTCACCTCCTGGGTTCAAGCAATTTTCCTGTCTCAGCCTCTGGAGTAGCTGGGCCAGGCACCAGCCACCATGCCCAGTTAATTTTTCGTATTTTTAGTAGAGATGGGGTTTCACCATGTTGGCCAGGCTAGTCTCAAACTCCTGACCTCAGGTGATCCACCCGCCTCAGCCTCCAAAAGTGCTGGGATTACAGGCGTGAGCCACCACACCTGGCCTGATTACTCTTTTATTGTAGAGATGGGGGTCTCACTGTGTTGCCCAGGCTGCTTGAACTCCTGGCCTCAAGCAATCCTCCTGACTCAGCCTCCCAAAGTGCTGGGAATATGTGTGTGAGCACCATGATCAGCCAGAATAAGTAACTTTTATTATTATTATTATTATTATTATTATTATTATTATTATTATTTTTGAGACGGAGTCTCGCTCTGCCGCCCAGGCTAGAGTGCAGTGGCCGGATCTCAGCTCACTGCAAGCTCCGCCTCCTGGGTTTACGCCATTCTCCTGCCTCAGCCTCCCGAGTAGCTGGGACTACAGGCACCGGCCACATCGCCCAGCTAGTTTTTTTGTATTTTTTAGTAGAGACGGGGTTTCACCGTGTTAGCCAGGATGGTCTTGATCTCCTGACCTCGTGATCCGCCTGTCTCGGCCTCCCAAAGTGCTGGGATTACAGGCTTGAGCCACCGCGCCCAGCCACTTTTATTATTTTTAAAAATATTTTGTAGTTTTTTTTCTGAGATGGAACCTTGCTGTGTCGCCCGAAGCTGGAGTGTAATGGCACAATCTCAACTCACTGCAACCTCCGCCTCTTGGGCTCAGGCAATTCTTCTTCCTCAGCCTCCCAAGTAGCTGTATTACAGGTGCGTGCCACCATGCCTGGCTAATTTTTGTATTCTTAGTAGAGATGCGGTTTCACCATGTTGGCCAGGCTGGTCTCGAACTCCTGACCTCTTGATCAGCCCACTCCAACTCCCAAAGTGCTGGGATTACAGGCGTGAGCCGGTGTGCCCAGCCTGTAGTATTTTTAAATAGAGATATGATCTCAACATGTTGCCCAGGGTAGTCTTGAACTCCTGGGCGCAAGTGATCTTTTTGCCTAAGCTTTCCAAAGTGCTGGGATTACAGGCCTGAGCCACTATTCCCAGTCTAGAATCTTATAGCATAGAGATAAATTAAGAATTTAGAAAAAGTAGGAACATGCCCCAGTACAGTACATGACAGTCATAATCTACATATAAATATCATTCAGGGCCGGGCATGGTGGCTCACACCCGTAATCCCAGCACTTTGGGAGACGGAGGAGGGCAGATCACGAGGTCAAGAGATCGAAACCATCCTGGCCAAAATGGTGAAACCCTGCCTCTACCAAAAATACAAAAATTAGTTGGGTGTGGTGGTGCGTGCCTGTAGTCCCAGCTCCTCAGAGGCTGAGGCAGGAGAATCGCTTGAACCTGGGAGGTGGAGGTTGCGGCGAGCTGAGATCACGCCACTGCACTCCAGCCTGGGCACAGAGCCAGACTCCGTCTCAAAACAAAACAAAACAAAAGCCGGGCGTGGTGGCTCACGCCTGTAATCCCAGCACTTTGGGAGGCCGAGATGGGCGGATCACGAGGTCAGGAGATCGAGACCATCCTGGCTAACACGGTGAAACCCCGTCTCTACTAAAAAATACAAAAAAAAAATCAAAGTCTTTTAAAATGATCCATTATGTCTCAGTTGAGCTTATCCAGGAATGCAAGGTTGATGTAACACTAGAAATAAATACTAGAAACTAGAAATAAATACAAAAGCCCAGCACTTTGGAAGGCCGAGACGGGTGGATCACGAGGTCAGGAGATCGAGACCATCCTGGCGAACACCGTGAAACCCTGTCTCTACTAAAAAATACAAAAAACTAGCCGGGCGAGGTGGCGGGCGCCTGTAGTCCCAGCTACTCGGGAGGCTGAGGCCGGAGAATGGCGTGAACCCGGGAGGCGGAGCTTGCAGTGAGCTGAGATCCGGCCACTGCACTCCAGCCCGGGCTACAGAGCGAGACTCCGTCTCAAAAAAAAAAGAAAAAAAAAAAAGCCACATTTATTTTACTTTTGATGGAGTCTCACTCTGTCAACAAGGCTGGAGTGTAGTGGTGCAATCTACACTCAATGCAACCTCCACCTCCCAGGTTCAAGCGATTCTCCTGCTTCAGCCTCGCAAGTAGCTGGAATTACAGGTACACACAACCACACCCAGCTAATTTCTGTATTTTTAGTAGAGATGGGGTTTCACCATGTTGGCCAGGCTGGTCTCCAACTCCTGACCTCAAGTGATCCACCCATCCCTGCCTCCCTAAGTGCTGGGATTACAGGTATGAGCCACCACACCCAACCTGACCGCATTTATTTTAGAAACAAGTCCTTCCATGCATTCACTTGTTCAAGTTTTTTTGTTTTGTTTTGTTTGCTTTTTTTTTTTTTTTTTTTTTTTTTTGAGATGTGGTCTTGCTATGTTGCCTAAGCTGGTCTAGAACCCCTGGGTTCAGGCCATCCTCCCAAGTAGCTAGAACTACAGGCATGCATCACCACATCATTTCATTGAAGTATTTATTACGTACCATCATGGACCAGGTACAGTTCTAGGTACTTGAGTATTAGTAAATAAACATGATCATCATAGAGGATGCACAGGAAGCAGTTAATAAATTCAAGAGGAATTCAGCGTCACAAATTATGAAATATTGGGAAATCATTCATCATGTAAAAACTGGATATAAAAAGAAACTTTTCCTGTAAGAGCCTCTTCAAAAAATAGGATAAAAACCTACAGCCAAGCCAATAAAATAGAGCACATATCTCAGCAGAACTGCACACAATTATGCTGGTATTACTACTTTTAGTTGGTGTTGTGCTGGAGGTTGAAATGAGTCCAGTAAAGCAAGGAAAAATATATATATGTATAACCTAACGACTAAAGTGGAAAAATAAGAGTCGTTATTTTTTTTTTTTTATTTTTGAGACGGAGTCTCGCTCTGTAGCCCAGGCTAGAGTGCAGTGGCCGGATCTCAGCTCACTGCAAGCTCCGCCTCCCGGGTTCACGCCATTCTCCGGCCTCAGCCTCCCGAGTAGCTGGGACTACAGGCGCCCGCCACCTCGCCCGGCTAGTTTTTTGTATTTCTTTCTTTTTTTTTTTTTTTTTGAGACGGAGTCTCGCTCTGTCACCCAGGCTGGAGTGCAGTGGCCGGATTTCAGCTCACTGCAAGCTCCGCCTCCCGGGTTCACGCCATTCTCCTGCCTCAGCCTCCGGAGAAGCTGGGACTACAGGCGCCCGCCACCTCGCCCGGCTAGTTTTTTGTATTTTTTAGTAGAGACGGGGTTTCACCGGGTTAGCCAGGATGGTCTCGATCTCCTGACCTCGTGATCCGCCCGTCTCAGCCTCCCAAAGTGCTGGGATTACAGGCTTGAGCCACCGCGCCCGGCAGAATATAATGTTTTTAACCTGATTTATTTACAATTAAATGAATTTGCAAGCCATTTGGTCTGTGGTATTTTGTTATGGTGGCCTGAGCTCATTAAGGCAGATTAAAAACAAAGAAACAACAAAACTAAAAATGTGAAGCAGCTTTGAAAGTGACAAATAAGGCCGGGCGTGGTGGCTCAAGCCTGTAATCCCAGCACTGAGGGAGGACGAGGCGGGCGGATCACAAGGTCAGGAGATGGAGACCATCCTGGCTAACACCGTGAAACCCCGTCTCTACTAAAAATACAAGAAAATTAGCCGGGTGTGGTGGCAGGTGCCTGTAGTCCCAGCTACTCCAGAGGCTGAGGCAGGAGAATGGCATGAACCCAGGGGGCGGAGCTTGCAGTGAGCTGAGATCGCGCCACTGCACTCCAGCCTGGGGCACAGAGCGAGACTCCGTCTCAAAAAAAAAAAAAAAAAAAAAAGTGACAAATGAGTAGTGCCTGGAAAAAATTGTGATGTGCAAGCTGGAAATAAGGTTGGCAAGGGTGATTCTGGTGAGGTGTCATTGGGGAATGAGGAACATGCTATTGGGAAATAAGACAACCCTTGATATGAAGCGGTGAAGAACTTGGCAGAACTGTATTCTAGCATTTTGTGCAAGGTAGAGCTTGAGAGAGATAAAATTAGGTATTTATCACCAACATCTGTAATTAAAGTGTTAAAAGACACTGGAAGCTTCATTCTTCCTGACTGCTTACAGGGAAATCCAAAGAGGAGACTTGAATTGCAGAAGCAACTGTTAAGGAAAAAGGATCCAGAACCTGGAGATTTGGAAAATTCTCAACCTATCCATACTGCAAAAATTAGAAAACTTGTGCTGAAGAGAATCCTGAAAGTGTGGCTGAACAATCATTTGATAAAGAGATCATGAGTGGGATTCATGGACTATATCAGCCATCTTAAGAGGAGTGAGAGACTGGATTATACTAGAAGAGCCACTGCCACCTACATTGTGCCACCTAAAATAGACATACAAGGTAGAACAGGCAAGGCTGTCACACTTCTTAGATTTTACAAGGGGACACAGAAATAATCAGCTGTGAAAGTGCACTGGCAGTTAAGGATGGTTTCATTCCTGCCATGCTCTGCAGGATCTGGGAAATAGAAGAGACCCTTGGAGGAGCATCTCTTAACAACCCACCTCTGGGGTCCTACATCATCTTGGTTTCTGGTAAATTGTGACATAAATGTGCCACACTGGCAGCCACTAATCAACAGGGGCTGGGATCAATCTGCATGATGTATCTCATACAGAACTTGTCAACGCTATGATCTTAGGAATCTAGTCACCAAGGTGAGGCAGGCTTCAGTACTGACCTCACCATCCATGACCCTTCTTCACAGATGCCCAGACTTAGGCAACCATGAAGTTGTATTCAGAACCTGTAGGTTTAATTTCAGACCTTCAGGATGGCATCCAAAGCCAATCCATGAGCCATTACAACCTCCGCAAGGCATTTAGGACAAATCTGATAATCTTTGGTGTCATTGCCAATAATTAAAGATGGCAACTGATGGGCTAAATGGTAACACTCATACTCTTACATTCATGGGGTTTCTCCCCAGTGTGAATTCTTTCATGTCTACTTAGGCGTGAGGAAACAGCAAATGCTTTCCCACATTCTTTACATACGAAGGGTTTCTCTCCGGTATGAGTTCGCAGGTGAACGTTAAGGCGTGAGGAATACAGAAATGCTTTCCCACATATCTTGCATACAAAGGGCTTTTCTCCACTGTGAGTTTTCAAATGTTTACTACGACGGGAAGAAGTAATGAAGGTCTTCCCACATTCAACACATTCATAAGGCTTCTCTCCTGTGTGAATTCTTATATGTTGAATAAGGCTTGTGGATGTAGTGAAGGCTTTCCCACATTCCTTACACTGATAGGGTTTCTTTCCACTGTGACTTCGTATGTGTATAGAAAGGCCCGAGTACTGAGCGAAGGCTTGGCCACATTCCTTACATTCATAGGGTTTTATTCCAGTGTGAGTTCTTACATGTTCAGTAAGTTGAGTTGATCTAGTGAAGGCTTTCCCACAGTATGTACATTTGTGTGGTTTTATTCCAGTGTGAATTTGAATGTGATCATTAAGGCATGAGGAATTTCTAAAGGATCTTCCACATTCTTTGCATTCAAAGGACTTCTCTCCTTTATGAGTTTTCACATGTGCATAAAGTTGAGAAAAATTAGTGAAGGATTTCCCATATTTCTTAGTCTTTTTGGATTTCTTTCCAGTATGAACTGCTACACATTGCTTTAGATGTGAGGAAGGTGTGATGGCTCTCTCACATTCCTGAAATTCACAGAGTTTCTCATCAGTGTGGATTCCCATGTGATTATCAAGGCTTGCAAAATACTTAAAGCCTTTTCCACATTCCTTACATTTGTAGGGTTGTCTTGCATTGAGAACTTCAAGATGTACAGCAAGGCCTGGAGTTAGAGTGAAGACTTTTCCACATGGATTAAATTTGGAAAGTTCCTGTCCAATAGAGGCTTCCTTGTGCACACTGAGGACGTCTTTTCCGTAACAATTACCCTCAGAAGTGTTCCCTCCATTGTGAGCTCTCATGTGTGTCTTAAGGCAAAACTGTTCACTGAAGACCTCTCCACAATTCTTACAGTCACAGAGTTTCCATCCACTGTAGCCTCTTGTCTGTTGATGACGGGATAAAGGTTTTAAAACATTTTCAGACATATAAAGAGATTTCACCCATCTGAACACAGAAACATTATTTTAATGACAATTATTATTTTACTTCTTAATGTTTATTTACTTTTTTTTTTTTTTTTTTGAGAGAAAGTCTTGTTCTATCTCCCAGTCTGGAGTGCAGTGGCACACTCTCAGCAAACTGCAACCTCCACCTCCCATGCTCAAGTGATTCTCCTGTCTCAGCCTCCCAAGTAGCTAGGAATACAGGTGCCCACCACTGCACCTGGCTAATTTTTCTGTTTTGTAGAGACAGGGTTTTGCCAAGTTACCCAGGCTGGTCTCAAACTCCTGAGCTCAGGTGATCTGCCTGCCTCGGCCTCCCAAAGTGCTGAGATTACAGGCGTGGCCACCATGCCCCACCTCAGTTTATTTATTTTTGAGATGGAGTCTCGCTTTGGCTGGAGTGCAAGTGGCGAGATTTCGGCTCACTGTAACCTCCACCTCCTGGGCTCAAGTGATTGTCATGCCTCAGCCTCGTGAGTAGCTGGGATTACAGGCACGTGTAGCCACACCCAGCTAGTTTTGGTATTTTTAGTAGAGACCGGGTTTCACCACGTTGGCCAGGCTGGTCTTGAACTCCTGACCTCGTGATCTGCCCGCCTCGACCTCCCAAATTGCTGGGATTACAGGCATGAGCCACCGCACCCAGCCTCAATTTATCAGTATAAAGACAGGGTCCTGCTATGTAGCCTAGGCTGATCTCAAACTCTTCACAAACCCCCCCTGCCTCAGCCTCCCAAGGTGCTGGGATTATAGCCATGCACTGTCTACTTTGATAATTATAATTTTTACAATTTTTCTTCCTTGTTTTTATTTCCTGACTTTCTGATTTCTTCCAGATTGAATGATGGGAACTTTGGCTAGAATTCTATGCCACTGGCTCTAATTGTTAAAAAACAAACAAACAAAAAAAAACTGTAGTTCTTTTTTTATTGTGGGGGGTGGTTTGAGACAAGATCTTACTCTGTCACCCAGGCTGGGTACCATGGCACAATCACAGCTCACTGCGGCCTTAATCTCCCAGGCTGAAACCATCATTCTACCTCAGTCCCCCGAGGAGCTTGGATTACAGGTGCATGCCAACACACCCGGCTAATTTTTTATTCCTTGTAGAGACAGGGTCTCTGTTGTCCAGGCTAGTCTTGAACTCCTAGGCTCAAGCGATTCACCTGCCTCAGCTTCCCAAAGTGCTGGGATTATAGGTGTCAGCCACTGCACCCAACCAAATAGTGTAGATTTTCATGAAACTGTTTAAATCATCAATGTCTAGTTACTTATGTGGGAATGTGTACTTGTGGGTATTTTGAAGTGACAAGTTATACAGGAATGAAACATCACAAAATTCACCACATTCAGACTCTCTCCAGAGACCCTGCTCCCTCAACGGTGCAGGCTACTTCTCTAATTCTCTCAAGTATCTCTCATTTGTGCTGTTTCTTTTTCACTGCAAACTCCACCTCCCGGGTTTAAGCAATTCTGCCGCAGCCTCCCAGGTAACTGGGATTATCAGTGTCTGCTACCATGTCTGGCTACCTTTGTATTTTTAGTAGAGATAAGAGTTTCACTACGTTGGCCAGGCGGGTCTCGAAGTGCCAACCTCAAGTGATCCACCTGCCTAGGCCTCCCAAAGTGATGGGACTACAGACTTAGTTTTTCTTTCTTTATTTCTGAGACAGTCTCACTCAGTCGCCCAGGCTGGAATGCAGTGGTGCAATCTCAGTTCATTGCAACCTCTGCCTCTGTGTTCATGCCATTCTCCTGCCTCAGCCTCCTAAGTAACTGGTACGACAGGTGCCCACCACCACACTCAGCTAATTTTGTATTTTCAGTAGAGACGGAGTATCACCATGTTGGCCAGCCTGGTCTCAAACTCCTGACCTCAAGTGATCCACCCACCTCAATCTCCCAAAATGTTGGGATTACAGCTGTGAGCCACCACATTCACCCTCTCTTTAAAATCAGAGATGGGATCTTGCTATACTGCCTAGGCTGGCCTTGAACTCTTGGGCTCAAATGATCCTCCCACTTAAGCCTCCCAAGTAGCTGGGATTACAGATGTAAGCCACACCTCTGACTGTGCTGATATTCTAGAATGGAATTCTCCATCTTTTCTAAGAGAGGAAATTAAGAAATATCCCTCATGAATCTTACCATTTGTATCCCACTGGATATTTGATTCTTCAAAAAACCCTGCTGAAATGATGACCGTTTGATTCTAGGTTGTATTTCCCATTCTGAAGTTAAGCAGAAAAAGAAATGTAAGCCTTTAGAGAAGAAATGTTAGTTTAACATGAGTCATTTTTACTTGTTTTCAAATTAAACACAGCAATAAAATAAAAGCCAGAGAATCTTGAGGATTTTGGTATGTCAAAAATTAGGCTATAATGATGTGGGGTTTATTACACAACTGATGTGTTTAGATAGTTTATTACAAACTACTTCTGTGAAAATTAAAACTGCCAGGAACGGTGGTGGCTCACACCTGTAATCCCAGCATTTTGGGAGGCTGAGGCAGGTGGATAACTTGAGATCAGGAGTTCAAGACCAGCCTGACCAACATGGAGAAACCCCATCTCTACTAAAAATACAAAATTAGCCGCACATGGTGGTGCATGCCTGTAATCCCAGCTACTCATGAGGCTGAGGCAGGAGAATCGCTTGAACCCGGGAGGCAGAGGTTGCAGTGAGCCGAGATCGTGCCATTGCACTCCAGCCTGGGCAACACAGGGAGACTTCAGAAAAGAAAAGAAAATTAAAACTGATGGAAAACAGGAAGAGAAGATCTTCAGGAAAGGAAAGTACGAAAGATCTAGATAAAGAGCATATATCAAAATGATAAAGTTAATAAAGACACAGAACAGGTAGTTTAATTAGATCATAGGAATGTTTGACAAGACGGAAAATAAAAGTCAAAGATATCCAAAACTCTGAGAAAAATAGCTTAAATCTTCTGAGGCAAAGTGCATCTTTAAAAATCTCTCTTTTTTTTTTTTTTTGAGAGGGAGTCTCATTCTGTCACCCATGCTGGAGTGCAGTGGCACAATGTTGGCTCAATGCAACCTCTCTGTCTCCCATTTTGAAGCGATTCTCCTGCCTCAGCCTCTTGACTAGCTGGGACTACAGGTGTGTGCCACCACCACCCAATCCTAACACTTTGGGAGGCTGAAGTGGGTGGATCACTTGAGGTCAGGAGTTTAAGACCAGCCTGGCCAACATGGTGAAACCCCTTCTCTACTAAAAATACAAAAATTAGCTGGGCACAGTGGCACTTGCCTGTAATCCCAGCTACTCAGGAGGCTGAGGCAGGAGAATTGCTTGAACCTGGGAGGGCGGAGGTTGCAGTGAGCAGAGATTGCACCACTGCACTCCAGCCTGGGTGACAGAGCAAGACCCTGTCACCAAAAAAATTAAAAATAAATAAATAAAGTAAGTAGGCCGGGTGCAGTGGCTCACACCTGTAATCCCAGCATTCTGGGAGGCCGAGGCGGGTGGATCACCTGAGGTCAGGAATTCAAGACTGGGCTGGCCAACATGGCAAAACCCCATCTCTACTAAAAATACAAAAAATAAAAAAAAAAAAAAAATTAACTGGGCATGGTAGCATGTGTGTCTCATCCCAGCTACTTGGGAGGCTGAAGTTGCAGTGAGCCAAAGTGGCACCATTACATTCCAGGCTGGGCGACGGAGTGAGATTCTGTCTCAAAAAAAAAAAAAAAAAAAGCAGAAATAAAGTAAGTACAACAAAAAGATGCTTGCTCTCATGGGTAAACAACTCTGCCACTGGATCTCAAACATGATAGTATATGATTCATCTTCATTGATTCTGAAAACACAGATGACTGGGCCCCAACCCTGGAGTTTCCCATTTACTAAATCAAATAGGGGAAGAAGGCTGGATGCCGTGGCTCACGCATGTAATTCCAGCACTTTGGGAGGCCAAGGTGGGCGGATCACCGGAGGTCAGGAGTTCGAGACCAGCCTGGCCAACATGGTGAAACCCCGTCTCTACTAAAAATACAAAAATTAGCCGGGCATGGTGGTAGTCACCTGTAATCCCAGCTACTCAGGAGGCTGAGGCAGGAGAATCGCTTGAACTTGTGAGTTGGAGGTTGCAGTGAGCTGAGATCGTGCCATTGCACTCCAGCCTGGGGCACAAGAGCGAGACTTCGTCTTGAAAAAAAAAAAAAAAGAATAGGAAGGAAGATGTATATTTCTTTCTTTTTTTTTTTTTTTTTTTTTTGGAGACAGAGTCTCGCTCTGCCGCCCAGGCTGGAGTGCAGTGGCGTGATCTTGGCTCACTGCAAGCTCCGCCTCCCGGGTTCACGCCATTCTCCTGCCTCAGCCTCCCGAGTAGCTAGGACTACAGGTGCCCGCCACCTCGCCCGGCTAGTTTTTTTGTATTTTTTAGTAGAGACGGGGTTTCACTGTGTCAGCCAGGATGGTCTCGATCTCCTGACCTCGTGATCCGCCCGTCTCGGCCTCCCAAAGTGCTGGGATTACAGGCTTGAGCCACCGCGCCCGGCCGGAAGATGTATATTTCTTACAGCACAAAGCTGATGCTGTTGATGATGTTTCCAGGATTACCACCGTAAATTAAAACATACTAAAAATAAATAAATAAATAAAATTAAATTTAAAATAAATAGATAAATAAATAAACAACAACAAAAAAACCCCATACTACAGCAGGGACTGTTACTTGGGACTGTCTCTGTTATTCCCCACTGTATTCAGAATTGACAAGCAAACATGTAACATACATCTGCTCTATAACAGGCTACAAGAAATGATGCTAGTGTTTATTTTTGATTAATTAATTTTTTTAGACGAAGTATCACTGTGTCACTCCGGCTGGAGTGCAGTGGTGAAATCTCGGCTTACTGCAACTTCTGCCTCCTGGTTCAAGCAATTCTCCTGTCTCAGCCTCCCAAGTAGCTGAGATTACAGGTGCCCGCCAACAAGTCTGCCTAATTTTTGTATTTTTAGTAGAGATGGGGTTTCCCTATGTTGGCCAGGCTGGTCTCAAATTCCTGGCCGCATGTGATCTGCCCGCCTTGGCCTCCGAAACTGCTGGGATTATAGGCGTAAGCCACCATCACTGGCCTAGTCTTCATTTTTAGGATTTTTTTTTTTTTTTTTTGAGATGGAGTCTCGCTCTGTCGCCCAGGCTGGAGTGCAGTGGCGTGATCTCGGCTCACTGCAAGCTCTGCCTCCTGGATTCATGCCATTCTCCTGCCTCAGCTTCCTGAGTAGCTGGGACTACAGGCACCTGCCACTACGCCCACCTAATTTTTTTTTTTTTCTTTTAGTAGAGATGGGGTTTCACAGTGTTAGCCAGGATGGTCTCCATCTCCTGACCTCTTGATCCGCCCACCTCAGCCTCCCAAAGTGTTGGGATTACAGGCGTGAGCCACTGCATCCGGCCTAGAATTTTTTTTTTAAGAGACAAGGTCTCACAATGCTGCCCATGCTAGTATCAAACTCCCAGGCTCCAATGATTCTCCCACCTCAGCCTCCCAAGTATCTGGGACTATAGGTGCAGGCCACCATACCAAGCAAAGTGATGTTACTCTTACCCACGGAGGCCAGGTTCATGTAGTTCTCCAGCATCACATCTCTGTAAAGGTATTTCTCAGTTGTGTCCAGTAAAGCCCACTCCTCCGGGGTGAAGTCCACAGCCACATCATCAAACGTCACTGAATCCTATGTTATCATACACATGCTGGTTTGAGCCAATGAACACTTCCACCAATGCTCACTGGAGAATGAGGAAGGGGAACCTTAAACTCACTTATACGTGGTTCTCAGGTCTCCCATGATCTACTCCAGCGTTTAATGTCTCAGGAGCTCTTGTGTCTAAACACTCAAAGGTGACCTCCAACAGGCATATGCCTTAAACAGCACTTAAAAATTTTTTTTTTAATCTTTTTTTCCTGATCTATTTACTTTTAACTTTTTAATATTTGCGTTTTTAAATTTTATTTTTATTAGAACAGTACTTCCTTCCTAAACATGAATTTTTATCTATCTAGCATCTATCTATCTATCTATTCAATCTGTTTATTTATTTATATATAAAGACAGGGTCCCACTGTGTCACCCAGGCACAACTGCTGCTTACTGCAGCTTCAATCTCCTGGGCTGAAGTGTTCCTCCCACCCCAGCCTTTAGAGTAGCTGGAATTACAGGCATGAGTCACTGCACACTGCTTACACTTTATCTCAGCACAACCAGGTTAGGAGCTCTTCCTGTCCCATTGGTCTCTATGTAGCACACTCCTGAGCACACTGCAGATACCTGATAAATGCTGATGAGTAAATAAATTATTTGATAAAAGGACACTTTCATCTCTCTTATCATCTGTCACAGAACCCAGCAATATAAGAAACATGCAGTTAGCACCAAGAAAGTCAAGCTTAATTAGTAATTACTGAGATATTGAGATGACTTTCAACTTAACACTTTACATATAGGAGACTTCATTCCCTGCGGAAATTCATCTGGGGACTCAGTCCTTGAGTAAGGCTTCATTTGCTCTAAGAAAACTCTGGAGATGAGTCTGTCTAGAAGGAAATGTGTCTACCTATTGGATGTAAGTATGTCATTTTGTATAACGGTACATTGTCTGTTTACCTGATAAGAATTTGCCAGGTAGTCCTCCACCATCCTTTCTGCCTTTGTCTTTTCTTCAAAAGGGCAGACTGGTTCCCTGGAAAAAAACCCTAGTGGAAAAGTAAGAAGGCAATGAGAAGCCAGAGCTGCCCATCCTAACCACATTCTAATGCCTAGAAGTCACTCCATCCTAGCTTGAAATTCCCATATGCTCCTGCACACTCGAGAAAACTGTACACACACAACACTGCCATGAAATGCCATAGTAAGGCCGGGCGCGGTGGCTCAAGCCTGTAATCCCAGCACTTTGGGAGGCCGAGGCGGGCGGATCACAAGGTCAGGAGATCGAGACCACAGTGAAACCCCGTCTCTACTAAAAATACAAAAAATTAGCCGGGCGAGGTGGCGGGCGCCTGTAGTCCCAGCTACTCAGGAGGCTGAGGCAGGAGAATGGCGTGAACCCAGGAGGCGGAGCTTGCAGTGAGCCGAGATCGCGCCACTGCACTCCAGCCTGGGCAACAGCGTGAGACTCCGTCCCAAAAAAAAAAAAAGAAATGCCATAGTAGTCCTGTGTCAGCTAGACCCAGAAAAGCAGATGTGGGCCGAGCTGCCTGTTGGGTAAAGGGTAATAGTTTCATTTTACAAGGAAACTTACACCCTGAAAAATGTGACTCTCTATCTGCCCATAGTAGTAATACTCATGAAGCTTATGTAGCATTTCCTAAGGCACACAAACCAGGGCTGAATTCTAAAACAGCATCCTGGCTGGGCACAGTGGCTCATGGCTGTAATCCCAACATTCTGGGAGGCCAAGGCGGGCAAATAACTTGAGGTCAGGAATTTGACACCAGACTGGCCCATATGATGAAACCCCGTCTCTACTAAAAATACAAAAATTATGGGAGGCTGAGGCAGATAATTGCTTGAACCCAGGAGGCAGAGGTTGCAGTGAGTCGAGATCACGGTACTGCACTCCAGCCTGGGAGACAGAGTGAGAATCCGTCTCAAAAACAAAAACAAACAAACAAAAATTAGCCAGGCCTGGAGGTATGTGCTTGTGGTCCCAGCTACTTGGGAGGCTGAGGCAAGACAATCACTTGAACCCGGGAGGCGGAGGTTGCAGTGAGCTAAGATTGCACCACTGCACTCCAGCCTGGGTGACGGAACAAGATTCTGTCTCAAAAACAAACAAACAAACAAACAGCATTCTGTTGTGGTTCACTTCAATTCCTCCTAAAAGAATCAGCTGCATGCCTGCTCAGGCCCAGCTCACTGGACTCTTGTGGTGTGCAGGGTGACCTAAAGCAGAATCTCTGAAAAAGAGCATCAACAAGGACTTACCATGGGACAAATCAATGGTTGCCATTCTCTGAAGCTGATAGTGCGATGTGCATCCCTTCCTTGATGCCAAGATCACCTCAGGGCAGCTTATGAATCTAGGTGGATAGAGGCAATCTCCATTTCTCTTTGTAGAGGGTTATTTGCGGTCCTGTTCATATCAATCATCAAACAACAAGCATGAAACATCAGTCATCAAACATTATGCCTGAACTTTGCCTCTGCAGGTGACAGATGTGAAGGCCACCAAAAATTGCTCACTCAGTATGGTCACTCAATAACAAAAGTATTAATGACAGTAACTGACATTTACTGAGGACTGATATGCCAGAAGTAGCTCTAGTAGCTTTATATATACATGCTAACTTAATTACAACCATCCTTCCCAATAGCTATCATTACATCTATCCTCTCTCTCTATTGAGACAGGGTCTTACTCTGTTGCCCAGGTTGAAGTGCAATGGCACCAACACGACTCTCTGTAGCCTAAACCTCTGGGGCTCAAGTGATCCTCCCACCTCAGCCTCCTGAATAGCTGGGACCTCAGGTAGGCATCGTCACTCCTTATTATTATTATTATTATTATTTTGAGACAAAGTCTCACTCTGTTGCCCAGGCTGGAGTGCAGTGGCGTGATCTTGACTTACTGCAACCTCTGCCTCCCAGGTTCAAGCGATTATCAGGCCTCAGCCTCCTGAGTAGTTGGGATTACAGGTATGCACCAGGATGCCTGGCTAATTTTTGCGTTTTTAGTAGAGACGGGGTTTCGCCATGTTGGCCAGGCTGGTCTCGAACTCCTGGCCTTCAGTGATTCTTCTACTTCAGCCCCCCAAGTAGCTGGGACTACAGGTGCACACCACTGGGTCCGGCTATTTTGTATTTTTAGTAGAGACAGGGTTTCACCAGGTTGCCCAGGCTGGTCTCAAACTCCTGGGCTCAAACAATCCTCCTGACTTGGCTTCCCAAAGTGCTGGGATAATAAGCATGAGCCACCATGCCTGGCCCATTACCTCTATTTAATACTGAAAAAACCTACATTCAAACAACCCTAGTAATTGGTCTGATATTTGTCCCTAGAGCCTAATCTCCTGTGGATGCTGTTACCCCTCAATATGACCAGAAGACAGTTCAGATCTGCACAGAACAATTCAGTAGTCACCAGCCATGTGTGTTATTAACTTCACTATGTACCTAAGATAACTGAAGAACAGAATTTAAAATTTTCAAAAGTTGGCCGGGTGCGGTGGCTCACACCTATAATCCCAGCACTTTGGGGGACCGTGGCAGACAGATCACCTAAGGTCAGGAGTTCAAGACCAGCCTGGCCAACATGGCAAAACCGTCTCTACTAAAGATACAAAAAGTAGCCGGGCGTGGTGGCACTTGCCTGTAATCCCAGGTACTCGGAAGGCTGAGGCAGGAGAACTGCTTGACCCAGGAGGCAGAGGTTGCAGAGGTTGCAGTGAGCTGAGTGTGCAGCCTCTCGGAACTGGCTGCGCAGGAAGGACCGATAGTCCCTGGAGAAGCGAGCGAAGTGAACCGGCTGCGGAAGGCTCCTGCGCGACGGCGCGCAATCATTCCTTTGCCGCCCCCTGCTATCTACGGAACCGCCAAGCAGGCGGAACTCACCACAGCCGCGGCTGACTCCGCCACCATAACGGCGAAACCCCACTGACCGAGAGGAGCCAGCGCCGGAAAAGATGGCGGTGGTGCGCTGACGTCACTTCCGCTTCGAGCCTCTGGCCGGGCGGGGCTCGTGGGCTCGAGTTTCAAACACAGAAATTCTGGTTTCCTCCCGGGTGGGTGCGGAGAAGGCCTGGGGTTAGCACAGGGAGGAGGATGCAGAAATAGATCCAGAGAAAACATTGAGGTTAAAACCGGGCCTCCGGACGGAACTGTGGGCGAGGGGTGGGGCCCGTACTCGGGGGCGGTTTAGAGGTGGGACCGGGCCTAGCAGGCGGTGCAGGCGGCTGGTCGGGCTGGAAGGGCGGGGATGAGGGATTGGACGCATCCCAGGGGATGCTCCTTTAAAGCTTTTCTCGGGAGAGCGTAGTGGCTCACGCCTGTAATTCCTGCACTTTGGGAGACTAAGGCAGGTACACAGCTTGAGTCTGCTGGGAACTGGTGCTTAGTTTGGCAAAATCAACACTGAGACAAAGGATCTCAGCAAGGCTAGTTTACTTTCTGCAGAATGGGTGCCACTGGCTAGCAGTTTTGCCACCAGAGCACACACTAACAAAAGAGACAGGGTTATTTAAACTTGACGTGTCCACTCTACTGCTGTGTTCATCTTCCATTGGCCAGAACAGGACCTCACCTTCTATACATGACTGGATTGGCTAGCTACTTAGAACTTCCCACAAGAGGCAAAGGCAGAGGAGAACAAAGGAAGAGAGGAAATAACTTGTGGACTGTTGAAAGAGGCAAAAACACTTCTAAATAAAGGAATAGGCCATGACCTAATGCTTGCTCGGACCAGTTCAGGCATGCCCGGGCAAATATCTAGGCTAAGATGTGGGAGCTAAGAACACAGAGTATATTGATTTCTTTATTACAGCTGGTAGAATTTAAGAATATTACCACAGCCGGGCGCGGTGGCTCAAGCCTGTAATCCCAGCACTTTGGGAGGCCGAGACGGGCGGATCACGAGGTCGGGAGATCGAGACCATCCTGGCTAACACAGTGAAACCCCGTCTCTACTAAAAAAATACAAAAAACTAGCCGGGCGAGGTGGTGGGCGCCTGTAGTCCCAGCTACTCAGGAGGCTGAGGCAGGAGAATGGCGTGAACCCGGGAGGCGGAGCTTGCAGTGAGCTGAGATCCGGCCACTGCACTCCAGCCTGGGCGACAGAGCGAGACTCCGTCTCAAAAAAAAAAAAAAAAAAAAGAATATTACCACAGATCTTTCAGAAAATTTGGCTTCTAAGAGGGATTACTATTTATTTTCAGACTGGGAGGAAAGTCCCTTTGAAGAGGAACCGCTATTTCATTTTCTACAAGTCCAAGAGTTTGAGACCAGCCTGGGCAAAGTAGCAAGACCCTGTCTCTATTTATGTATGTATATGTGCATACATATATATGGTGTGTGTGTATACATATATATATGTTTGAAATGCTTGTTCCTCGGTGCCATGAAGAAATAGCACTTGAACATTAATTTAATTTACTCAGCAAGGACGTTTTTAGTTCCTACAGAAAGGGTACACTCACCAGCAGTTTTGCCACGAGAGTACACCAAACAAAGGAGACAGGGTCGTTTATAACCTGATGCTTCCACCCTACTGCTGTATTTGGTTTCCGTTGGCTGGAACGGGACCTCACATTCTATATTTGTCCTGATTGCCTAGCAACTTGTCACTTTTAAAAGAGGCAAAGGTAGACGAGAACAAAGGAAGGAGGAAGTAACTTGTGGAATGCTGAGAAGGGTCAAAACACCTTCAAATAAGGAAAAGGAACAGGCTATGACCTAATGCTTGTTTGGACCAGTATAAGCATGCCAGGGCAAATATTTAGACTAAATTGTGGGAACTAAGAACATAAAGTACATTGATATCTTTATAACGGCTAGCAGATATTTGAGAATGTTAGCACAGGTCTTTGAATAAATTTTGCTTCTAAGAGAAGTTACTATTTATTTCTAATTAAATGGGAAGGAATGTCTTTGAAGAGGAACCTCTAATTTAGTTTTTAGATATAAATATAAAGCTTGTTTGTATGTCTCTCCTCATGTTCCTAGAGCCTTTCCATGATTCCTCCATATTGATAAACCTGTCAGTGAATGGCATGGTCTATCTCTTCCATTCAGTCAGGCTTTCTGTAGGCCTTTATTTCTTCATTCTTTATTTTTTAAAACCTGCTGATTGCATTGTGTTTTGTTTCTTGCTGCTTGCTTGCTTGCGACAGATCTCACTGGATCTGGCCAGGATGGAGTGCAGTGGCCTGATCTCAGCTCACTGCAACCTCCGCCTCCCAGATTCAAGCGATTCTCCTGCCTCAGCCTCTGCAGTAGCTGGGATCACAGGTGCCTGTCACCATGCCCAGCTAATTTTTGTATTTTTAGTAGAGAACAATTTCACCACGTTGGCCAGGCTGATCTCAAACTCCTGACCTAAAATATCTGACCACCTCAGCCTCCCAAAGTGCTGGGATTATAGGCATAAGCCACCACGCCCAACCACGTTTTCAATATAATAATATTTTCTATAACTCTTGATTTTTTTTTATCTTCATCAAATATGTATTTCTGGCTGGGCATGGTGGCTCATGCCTGTAATCCTAGGACTTTGGGAGGCCAAGGTGGGAGGATGGCTTAAGGCCAGGAGTTTAAGACAAGCCTGGGCTATACAGCAAAACCCCATCTCTCTCTATATATACATAAAATAAAATTTTAAAATGTTATTTCTTTTTTTTTTTTTGGAGACATAGTTTCGCTCTGTCGCCCAGACTAGAGTGCAGTGGTGCGATCTTTGCTCACTGCAAACTCTGCCTCCTGGGTTCAAGCCATTATTCTGCCTCAGCCTCCTGAGTAGCTGGGACTACAGGCACGCGCCACTACGCCCAGCTAATTTTTGCATTTTTAATAGAGACATGGTTTCACCATATTGGCCAGCCTGGTCTCAAACTCCTGACCTTGTGATCCACCCGCCTCATCCTCCCAAAGTGCTAGGATTACAGGTGTGAGCCACTGCCCTGGCCAAAAATATGTGTTTCTATTATTTTTCTGATCTTACCACATGGGCCAGGATCACATTTCCCACGCTGTAAAATAGCACTGATACCAGACATTCTCCCCAAGATTATTCAGAAATGTAACATAATCCCAATAAAAGCCGGGCGCGGTGGCTCAAGCCTGTAATCCCAGCACTTTGAGAGGCCGAGACGGGCGGATCACAAGGTCAGGAGATCGAGACCATCCTGGCTAACCCGGTGAAACCCCGTCTCTACTAAAAAATACAAAAAAAAAAAAAAAACTAGCCGGGCGAGGTGGCAGGCGCCTGTAGTCCCAGCTACTCGGGAGGCTGAGGCAGGAGAATGGCGTGAACCCGGGAGGCGGAGCTTGCAGTGAGCTGAGATCCGGCCACTGCACTCCAGCCTGGGCGACAGAGCGAGACTCCGTCTCAAAAAAAAAAAAAAAAAAAAAACAAATCCCAATAAAAATATGAAAAGTTTTTTCTGGAGTTAAGTACATTGATACTAAATTTTATGTGGAGGAACAAACATCTAATAATAACCAAGAAAACAAAAACAAAAGCAATGATGAGCAGCAGATAAAACATACTATTGACAGTTTTCATGCAAGGCAAATAATTAAATTATTTTAAAATAAAAATAAAGGCCGGCCATGGTGGCTCACGCCTGTAATCCCAGCAATTTGAGAGGCCAAGGTGGGCAAATTACCTGAGGTCAAGAGTTCAAGACCAGCCTGGCTAATATGGTGAAACCCCATCTCTACTAGAAGTACAAAAATTAGCCAGACGTGGTGGCACATGCTTGTAATCCCAGCTACTTGGGAGGCTGAGGCAGAAGAGTTGCTTGAGCCTGGGAGACGAAGGTTGCAGTGAGCCAAGATTGTGCCACTGAACTCCAGCCTGGCTGACAGAGTGAGACTCCATCTAAAAAATTAATTAATTAATTAAAACATACTATGAAGCCTCTATAATTAAAACTATGTGGCACTAGCACATGAAGCAGAAACAGACTAATAAAATATCTAAAAAGAGACCCAAGAACATGTAGAAATTTGGTTCATAAATGTATTTTGCCAGGCGCGGTGGCTCATGCTTGTAATCCTAGCAGTTTGGGAGACCAGGGCAGGAGGATCACTTGAGGTCAGGAGTTCAAATCCAGCCTGCCCAACATGGTGAAACGCCATCTCTATTTAAAATACAAAAAAATTTAGCCAAGCGTGGCCGGGCGTGGTGGCTCACGCCTGTAATCCCAGCACTTTAGGAGGCCGAGGCAGGTGGATCACGGTCAAGACATCAAGACCATCCTGGCCAACTTGGTGAAACCTCGTCTCTACTAAAAATACAAAAATTAGCTGGGCATGGTGGTGGGCACTTGTAATCCCAGTTACTCAGGAGGCTGAGGCAAGAGAATCGCTTGAGCCCGGGAGGGGGAGGTTGCAGGAGATTGCTCTCCTGCACTTCAGCCTGACGATAGAGTGAGTATCCGTCTAAAAAAAAAAAAAAAAAATTTACCCAAGCGTTGTGGTGTGCGCCTGTAAGCCCAGCTACTCGAGAGGCTGAGGCAAGAGAATCACTCAAACCTGGGAGGCAGAGGTTGCAGTGAGCCTAGATTGCACCACTGCACTCCAGCTGGGCGACAGAGCGAGACTCCATCTCAAAAAAAAAAAAAAAAAAAAGGCCGGGTGTGTTGGCTGACACCTACAATTCCAGCACGTTTGGAGGCAGAAGCAGGTGGATCACCTGAGGTCATGAGCTAGAGACCAGCCTGACCAACATGGAGAAACCCCATCTCTACTAAACATACAAAATTATCCGGGCATGGTGGCACATACCTATAATCCCAGGTACTCGGGAGGCTGAGGCAGGAGAATAGCTTGAATCCAGGAGGCAGAGGTTGTGGTGAGCGGAGAGCTTGCCATTGCACTCCAGCCAGGGCAACAAGAGTGAAACTCTGAAAAAAAAAAAAAAAAGTGGCATTTCAGATAAATCGGGCAAAAAATGCCATTTGTAATGAAA